CTATTGATGGATATTCAAAGTGCCCAGATTCATAGATACTCATCTCTGAAATGCTCCTCCCAAATTTCAAGCACTGTACACTAATAAACACTCTGTCCTAAAAGAAAATAACCTCCTAAATTAGTTCTTCTTTAGGCACTCTTCTGTTTGTGAAGTTAAAGAAGCTGTCAGCAAAACAAGGGTCATTATTCCCATCTTATGAGTGAGAAAAGCACAGCAGGAGTTGGGGTAATGATTTGCCCAAAGCCCTAAGCAGGTTAATGTTTTCAGGCCACTGTTTTATCCTCTGGGCTCCCCTGCCTTACACTTACCAAGCACATCTTGTTTATGGTAAAGAAATTAAACTGAAATAATAAACCTATCAGTATTATATTATTAACACCTTTCTTCTTCTGTGCTTTGTAGATGAGGACAGAGAGACAGATGTGTTTACAATGTTCAATCTGTTGAACCTGAAAATAAAAGTGTGGGCTGCTTAACCTAAACACAGTCATCAGCTTATGGAGTTGCCACTGTATTCAGTGTCTGCCATGCAGCACTAGAAAAGATTTTGTAAAGCAAACTTCTGCTGAATGTGCTCATAAATATTAGAATATTCTTGATATGCTACACCGAAAACATTCAATCTGAGCTGCAAGCAACTAATGTTGCATATCAATTTTTGGAAAATGCTGGTATTTGTATCCAGAGATCCTACCAGCAATACAAAGTGGCAAGATACTGAAACTGGCAATACAATGCCTTACACGATTATTTTGGGTCGAAGTATCCCATTGTACATAAATTCACATAATGAAGTTCAGTACAAAGCAAACTAACAATGAACTTGGCAAAGAGAAACAGATCAGCAGCTGCACTGAGAATTCAATGGAGAAAACTATTTTAATGCTCTATGTGTACATAAAATTGTCTTTGAAACTGAAATGCAAATAATATACATTAAATTTAAAATTTCTTAAAATAAAATTCAGGCTTGCTTAAAATATAAACCAATTCCAGAATCAAGGTTTTTGGAGAGCTGTGATTAGCTGATGAGAGGTGTTTTAGACAGATGATATAGTAGCTGGCACTGCATCATTATTGCCTCGCTTTCTTTTTTCCCCACACTGGCTGTTATGGTTCATATATACAACTATGGCTACGCTTTTTATAAAGTCTTTTGGAGTTACATTAAGAAGTCAGCAAATGACACAAAACTTGTCTTCCTCCATGGGAGGAGGAAAAATGGAGTGTATTATGCAAATACGAAGCAATGCAGGCATTACTCAACACAAACAATCCTAAACAGTATAATTTAAAGCCACAAATGCAGTCATTGATTTTTAATAACTGCATTAAAGGTCTCCATTCTAAGTAATTACATTTTGTAGGAAATATCTTTAAATGACGTTATGCCTATTTAAAAGGAATTAGAAGAATATTATACAAACAAGGTGAGGAAAATATATTTTGCTGTGACCATTTTTTCCGATACCTTCCCTCCCCCAGTATTTAAAACAGACATTACTAAAACTGCCACCAAGAACACCAATTAAAAGAGGACTTTGGTTTGTTTGTATTTTAAAAACAAATATTTTGAGATTTTTTTTCCTTTTCTTTTAGGGCGAATAATTGGCCAAACTCTCTCATCTTTTTTATGCTTCCATAAAAACACATCCACCTACTGCCTGCTCTGAGCCCAGGTGGGAGAAAAGCAAAGGGTTTTCAGAAGGGGGAGATGAGCTCATGTCCCCAATATTCACATGCTAAAGGAAAAGACTGGGTTTGGACCTGGGGAAACCACTGTCAGGCTCTGCCTATAGAGGCAAACTTAATTCATGGATCAAGCAGCTGTTAGGTGAGATACAGCAGCCAATGGTGATGCCGTCTAACCAGACCTCATCTCTGTGGTGAAGCTGCCTCAACACCTGGGCCAGTACAAAGGCTCCCAAAGGTGTCCTGTCTCCTCCCCAAAATGACCATCCTGTCCTGTGGGAGAGCTGCCTTTTAACTGAACCAGCAATCCTTCAGATCACGTGGATATTTCAGCAGTTCCCAGGTGTTGCTGAAGATGGCAAAGCCTGACTTGTTCAAGAGAACAACACTGGAGGCAGGCCAAGAGAGGAGGGGGAAGTCCCTCCAAAACTGGGAGCTACATGGTTGGAAGGGAAAACCTCTTTGGAAGATCAAATGTACACCCCCACAGATTTTCATGTCAGTTTTGAACCCTGCTTGCTCTGCCTCAGCATTTGAATAAGGCTGAAAGTGTGGACTGAGATCCATCCCTGGCTCTGCAGCACTGCCAAGCCCAACACTTGTGCTCTTTGCCACAGGACAGGAGGAAGTGGAGGAGCCTAAGAACCTTCTGGCTCATCAAAACCTGCCTTGAATAATACAACCCCTGCTTTATAGCAGGTGTTCAGTGCTGCCTGCAAAGTGGCTCTGGAATAAAAAGTATTTTATGGACCTTTTGTGGAAAAAAAATTAAAAAAAGCAAAGGAAAGAAAGAGAAAAAAAGAGAATAGTAGATGAAAAAGAAAATCAACCAAAAATTTTCAAAAATATGAATGAGGGAAAAACCCCACGATGATGTCTGCTTTTGTTTTGCTCATCTTCAAGCTCTACAAAAACCACACAGCAAATAACTACTTGGCAGTCCACTGTCAACACTTGCCCACTGATATGCAGAGTGACTTCCACCTGTACCAGCTACCACTAATCACTTCCAAAAGCTGCCAGCCCACACTGCCAGCCCACAGCCTGCATCTGACCTCTTAGATTTGTACTCCAATACACTCTACATCTCAAACTTTTAATTAAAAGGAGCAGAATAAAAAGAAGTTCATCCAAATCAATTCAAATGTACCGTTTCTCCCAATTACTGTGAATGCAGAGGTCATCATCATGTTGCATCATTACACTGAGGAATAATCTAGCATGAAGTCCTATAAATTAGCTTAAATAGCTTGTGTGTTTTCATCCATAACAGCATATTTCATAAAGATATAGCACTGCTTTTCTGTGTACAAGGAACTAAATTGAACAGGCACATTACATCTATTTTTTAAGAACTTTAATGAGAAAAGCCTGATAAGAACCTTCCCCCACTGCATATCTATGAAATTTAAACAGAAGAAAAAAGAGATCTGATTTTCTGGCTGCACATTAGACTCTGATGCTTTAGACTGCCTTTTTTTTTTTTTTTTTTGAGGAATGCACCACATTCCTGGCACTTCTATTCAAAACAAGCTTGTGTTTTAAAGAAAAGGGTTCAGTATTTACAGTGGCATATGTAAGAAAAGCACTGACAGAAAAATCTGATCTATAATTACAACTCAATCTAAGGAATCATCCATTTTAAGAGAAATGGTAATTGCATAAAAAGTACAACCCAATCCCTGTATTTGAATCAAGAGATGCTAGTTTAGGACACTATATATCAAACCTCAAATACCCTACCTACATTTATGTCCTGACAGTGGATGACCTTTCAAAAAAAAAACCAGCACAATGCAACTACATCTATAAAAAATAAGAAGTCTTATAGAACCTATGTTGCATGCTGAATTCTTTACAAAAAAACCCCCAATAAAATAAAATCAGAGAGAGCTCCATCAGTTTTGCTTTGGAACACTGGTGAGTACGTACGTAATGACTTTCCCCTCTTGAAATGTTTCTTCTTCATTCTTATGCATAGACTTGAAGGGTCATTTATGTGTTTGGTTTGTTGCATCAATTCAGAGTATAGAGTTACTGTAAAAATTTACATTACTGCAGGCTTGCAGTGATGAAGCAGGCAAGCATGAGAAAAAAGCTTTTATTGCTTTTATTTTAGATTTGATGGAAATGTGTAGTCATTTAGTATGACAACAGCCATCATGAAATTTGATTTATTTATTGATTAAATTATGTTTTATTTAAGCAGAATTTTTGAAAGCATTGAAATTTCAAGATAAAGCACAAATTTGACCTATCCATCCAGATGGTGTTGCTCCTGAATTGATCATGTATTTCAATTTGCTGCACCCACTTTAGTTTATAGTTGTGACATTTGCAGTGCACCAAGGACACTTACTGAAACTCAAACTTAATTTCAGTAAAGCACTACTCTATATACTACTCTCCCCACCAAACTCTTTTATTAAAAATAGGCAAAAAATGGTTTTCATTTCTCCTAGAATGCACAAATTGCTTGTATCAAAGATGGCCCTTCATTTAAAATGGATTTATAGAATCCTTTACTAAATAAATATATTTTTGAACCTTGATGGCTTAGGTTTTACTGCAACTTGCTACTCTGTTGAAGGTCTTGGAATCACAGGAGGATCAGTCTTTTGGTGCAGATAATAAGGCGAAGGACAGATTTTTAAGAACTAAGCAGTGCTAGCTTTCACCTAAGGCGCAGCTCGCTGGCAGCCCAACTGGACCTCTGAGCTTTTCCCCCACTCCTGCCAACTGCTTTTTTCCCTGTCTTTTTGAGGCACAGGCTGAGTTAATTTTGGGCTGGAAGAGTTCCCTGAACCTGCAGGCAGGTGCAAGAAAAAAGGACAGCACTGTGAAGGGACAGATTTAGATGGCTGAAAACACTATGGGTCACCTTGGTTTGAAATGCACCAAGTGCTTCTAATAACTAATGCAAGTTTCAAACCCCTAAATTCCCAGACATGTCACTGTTTCTTATATGCAACACTACTCTCATTCATCTGATTTTTCTTGATTTATTTCTCACTTCGGTTATTCCAAAGGACCCAAAAGCAGAAAAAGACTTAGTCCCCAAATCAAATTTAAATGTGTACTCAGGGCTCCTGTTATTGAGTTTTTCAAGTTTTTAATCTTTTTACTGAATTATTCAAAGCAGTAAGATATTTCAGGTTTCAAAAGACTTTCTAAACATTTTTTCTGTCTCAGTAAAACTACTGTATTACTAAAGATACCAAACCAGGTTATAAGATATTGAAGACTGCAAATATTTGCCTGCAATATGAATTATAAAGAACAGGAATTCAAATAATTGTCAATACCTGTGGTCAAAGGCAGATGAGTGACAGAAGTTAGACAGGTGAGAGTGAACCAGGTTGACGCTAATGTTGCTCCAGATAAAAGCAGCAGCAGTATGAACTTCAGCATGCCCCTGATAAAATCTGCAAATCTAAAATAAAAACACACATCAGAGCAGTACAAACACCGATTTTCATGTTATTTAAATGTGATGCTTGACAATTAATTCAGTATATCCTCATTAAGCATTTTGGAGACTATAAAAACAATTTAAAAGTAATTTCTCATTTTCAGAAATAGAAAAAAGGTATTTTTATAGAATGGTGATATTTCTAGCTGTCAAGCTGAAGAGCCATGGATGTTTTATCTGTCACGAAGTAACAATCAAACCAGAACAATTCTCAAGCAATTCTCAAGGCATCACATGAAAACACTAAAGGAGAGCTATTTTTTCCTTCTGCATTTGTTGGACACAATATCTCACCACTACTTCCATCACTGTTTTGTCAGCATTTGCCAGTCTCCCTTGGCAGACACAGAGCTCCATTAGCATATGAGGAGGCTGCCGCCTTTCATTCAAGACATAGTTAAGTGTCAAGATTCATTCCTGTGGGAAATGGAAAATCTCCAAAAAAGTCCAAAGAATCTCTAGTTGAAGATGACAAGGAACAGCTTCTGAACCCTTGGATGCATTGGTGATGAAGCCTGTGGTGGCTTAGGCAAGGAAGGAGCTCCTTACACAGGGGATCACTCTGCCAGTGGCTGGTTTGGGTTGAAAAGTTCCAGAAACCACAAGCTCGGTGCTGCTCCTCTGCTACACAGACCCTGCTGACAGACGGGGGGAGGACAGCCCCACAAGTCCTTGGGCAGTCTGGCTCTTATACAGAGGGAATTATGATATTTACACCACCTGACGGTACAATTGCTTTTTCCATCTTTTCCTTTTTCTTTCAAGGAGACAGAATGAGCAGTGCTCGTGTGGCATAATTATCAGTGCAACTGCTCCTTTCAAAGGGGATGTTAACCTAACTACTGGGAAAGATATATTAGAAAAGGCAATGTTATTTCTTCATGAGCAATTTTCTCTAACCTCCTGCTTAGGAGATGTGCTTTTAGGATGGGTGGGTTAGGTGTGTATTTCTAAAGAAAATCTTATGCCCCCTTGACAGGTTCCTACCTTGATTAGGCTAATGGCATCACAATCCACCTAGGTTGGTCCATGATAAAATTTGTCTGTCTACCAGCTGACTGCCTTATCTACCCTGACAAAGATCACTCTATAAGCAGATACCTTACAGCTTACTTGATAAAACAGGAAATGCTGCCAAAATTTTGAGAACTTCCAAATATAGTATAACAGACGTAGGAGTAATGCACTCAAACACTCTCTGCTCCCCCAAACCAACTTCTTTCCTTGTATTGTGATTCTCCCCATGCCTGAATTCCACACTGAATTTAGCAGTGAGTAATTCAATAAGCAGCAGTGGGAGATCAATGCTGCATATAATCTGAGAAGTTTATGACTGCAGTGTTCAAGTGGCTTATGCATTCATCTCCAATAGCCAGAGGTCAGCTGCTACTGGTGGAATTTTTTTCTAACAATCCAATTGAGGAGTCAGGATCACCTCACTGGTTTGCCAGTGAGTTTCTTTAATTATTCTTTGGGATCACTAGGGTCAAAATCAGCAATTTTAAAAGCTTTGCAGAAGCATCTGAAAGTGTAAACTTCCAGCTTATTCCACAGAGACTCCCACTTTGCCTGCTGGCAGACAACATCTCTGTCCTTACAGGCAAGGGCAGTGACGTAGGTCCTGTCTAATGAAACAAGGTGAGAAATATCAGCCTTCTGGGAGGGACATTCACAGACTACAGGTCTGGGGTGATCTCTAAAGGATCCTTGGTCTCTATCCCACCACCAAGGATATGTGGGGATGGGAGGCTGATATGCATCTAATCCATTCATGACAGCTAAGTGGAGAAAATACCACCTTTACCAAGCAGGTGCCACTCTTCCAGACACAAGGATCCCAGTTTGGGTAGCAGCATGCTCCAAAGAGCTCTCAGGTAACACAGAACTACAAAAGGGTCAAATGTACCCCAAAGTAAAGGTTTATTTAGCTATTGGATCCAGCCAGCAATAGAAATAATAGAAAAAAAATGACATAATAACCTAACCTGAACTTGGTAATTGAAGGACTCCTGTTTCTTGTCTGGTTACAGGAGAATAAAGAAGACTGTAAATCTAGTCTACTTTTCATAATACTTGCTTCAATCAAAAAACATGAGAAATTACTTTTATCTTCAGACTGTACCTGATTTCAAACCTTTTTTCTGTATAAATCCTTCTACATCATCTAGCATGTAAGGGGTTTCCTGCAACTGCTAAAAAAGTAGGCACAACAGGACAGAAGGTGTATACCGTGCCAGACACACACCCCTGAGCCTACTGCTGCTAACAGTCTCCAGCCTCCCAGCAGATCCAGCCCTAGGTTGTATCCTACAGTTAAAATCACAAACCTGCACTGCTGACAACACTGTCTGCTGCTAAGGAAATTATCACCATGCCATAAAGTTTCAGCATTTTGACGACACTGCAGGTTAGAAGCAGGAACTGAAACTGAGCTGCAGAGGACAAAACCTCAGAAATATCTATGATCCTTGGCAAATGTGGGGGGAAAAAATATTTAAAAATCTGAGAAAAGGGAATAGATTTATGTTTCCATGCAATTATAGGAATGCTGCTCTTTGACACTGCTTTTCTTCAAACTAGTAGCATTTGAAAGCTGCCAGCAAAGGGTACAGCACCTACCAGCTGCCCAAAATAAGCCAGGCTTTTCAATGATAAAAATGCATCAAACACATTAGCTAAACGTGTAAGTTCATGGCTATCAGGACAGCAGTGGGAAGAGAGTAGAAGGATTTATGTATAATGCTGAGAGAAACTTGAAGCATTTTGAAAACGAGATAGATAAACAAATTTCCAAACTGGGCATTACTTTAAATACAGATGATTTAACACCTACTGTGATATACAGGACCTAATGCTCAAGGGCAAGGCTCAGGTTGTTAAAAATTCTAAATTATAGAATCTGCATTGACAAAAATGGAAGGAGCAAATTCCTAAGATGCACCAATTTTGCTTTAACAAATTAGCAGAAGAAAAAAAAAGGAAAAAAAAATCCACCCCAAAACTAACAGCTTCTGGAGAGGTGGTTAAGGGAGAGAGCTGCTTGCTTGGCAAATCACAGTTCTGACACTGAAATATATCAACTTGTCAGTTTTGACAAGAATCATTACTTAATTTTCCTAATTACAACTTTCAGCAGATTACAGTCAGACTCGTCATTGATTCAACCCTACACAGATAAATGCTGAATAGGCCTAGGAGGGAGAGTCATCCATCAGAAGTGACAAATCACCTCCTCCCTCCCTTTCTGTATGCAAACCCTCCCATCTGAACTGTGCATCGCCCAAGTTAGAAAGACATATTTGGAGACAGACTGTTGGTATTTCTTAAATTTACTAAATGCTACAAAATACAGGTATTCAACAAGGTTTGAAATCAATTTTGAAGCAGTTAAAGGGACTGCCTGCACTTCCTGAAACTAAACCCAGACAGCTTATTAAATAAATTAATCTACCATAAAGACTGAGATTTGCATGTTGACTTAGAGTTTGCAGATTCTCTCCCAGTTAAGTTAAGTGAGCTTCAAAGCTCTACTATTGAAAAGCTGCCAATAAACTAGAGATTACCTCATAATGAAAAACGGCAGTCTACCTGCTTCAACATGCAACCTATGGCATCTGTGTCATTTGCAGCAGTAGCTTTTAAACATCTACTCTCTTACAGAGAAAACATTGTATCTGAGCTTGGCTAATCAAAAGCAACTCTTTTTAGAGGAAATCAGGTCATGAACTTTGTTTGGCTAGATGAAGTCCTTTGGCCTGCATCTGGAGTGGATGGCAGAGAAGCACTTGTTTCTTTTCCCTAGGTCAGGAGTTTTTCCCTCTCCCTGTTGCAGTTGCTAGGCAGCCTGCAAAACGTCAGGATGTGAAACCTCACATTTCTTTATGCATTGTGTATTCTGATGAAGCACAGCAAGTGAAAACAAGAGAGTTTCAAAAAGAAAATAGAGAGTCCTAAAAAGATCACTCTCTCCCATCCACAGCACCATGATGATGCAACAATTGCAGATATCTGCACATGGACTCTACAGAGTGGACACAGAGAAGCCAGGACAATGCTCAGATATCCCAAAGCAAGGGGGGAACATGTGATTGGTTTTAATCACATAATAAACTCACTGCTCAGGGACCTCCTAAAAGACTTTTTCTCCCTCCCACAATCCCTTTTCCTAAAGGGGACCTCAATGAATGAGAAACAGCAGCCTTTTGGAAGGGCAATCCTACTCTTGCTGTTCCACTCCCTGTGTCATCAGCTTTTGTGATGGTCAGAGAGAGACAGCTGTGTCTGGATTTACAAAAAGCAAACACACCCATACTGTAGCCCATAGGATACAGCAGAAAATAGTTAGGCTATGCAGGAATCCAGCAACCTGCCCAAAATGGGCCCAGACTAATTTCTCTGTGAGGGAACAAAATGTTATTGTAGTTAGGCTGCCTGTGCTACATTCCCAATATCCCTTTGGGAAACAATATGCCCAAAAGTGTTAATGGAAGGAGACAGAAAATTTCTTCAATGCTTTCCAAATATGCTGCAATGAGGTTCTTCCCCCTCATACCAGGCAGCTGAATTCACCAGAGCTGTCTTTAAAAGCAGCATACAGGAAGCCATTGTCAGGAACAAGAATCTGACTTTCAAATTCAGGTATATGCATGTGGAGTTCTCAATCCCCAGCAACCACTAACAGGGTATGAATTATTGCTTTACTAGAAACACATTATAACCCCAAAAGGAATTTTCCATTTCAAGTTTCTGAAAGATGAGAGAGAAAACAAGTTCTGTTCTTAAGAGGATAAACTAAATGACAATCACAGTTGAAGAAATGGAGAAGGACCTGTAATTATTCCTACCTTGCCATTGCTATGCCAACAACACAACCTCCAACTATAGACCAAAATCCAATCCAGCCTGCATCCACCTGACAGGGAAAAAAAAACAAAACAGAACATAGAGAAATGTGTTAAAGCTCAGAAAATAAGATGGTGTTACTTTCAAAACAAGTGTTGGGCAGGAGCTCCGAACTGCTAACAAGAGCTCTCTACAATATTCTGAAGTGCAAGGCTTTTTCTGGGAAAGGAAATAAATTCACCACAAGAAAGTAAGACTAAGTAGTCTATGCCCTAAATGTGACCTCTCTTTATGGAATCTGACTAATGTCCTCTGTTTTTTTATAATACTCTATCAAAAGCTTAGAAATCATCTTCTCCCCACTTCATCTTTTCTACCATGCATACATTATTTTCTTTCACTAGAGACGCAGCAGCCAACAATACTCCCATTTTTTTACCTACTTCTTCCTTTTTGTTAAAAGGCATGTACAGTTCTGAAAACACTCACCACTGATGGAGAATCAGCAGGGAGAGTTTTGACACTTTGGGATGCCAAAGCTACAGTTCATTTTGTTTAAAATTTCAGGGAGTAAAGTGGTCCATATGTATTAACAGCATGTTAAACATAAAAATCTGATAAAATTGCATGCTAGTACAAAATAAAAACATGCCACTTACAAAATAGCTGCTGATTATCAGTCAGGAGATACTTACCTGGCTTACATGAATGGGTGTTAATATCAAATCCAAAACACCAGACCAGCCAGAGAAAACACCCAGTGGTATGGCATAGGCCAAAGCAATCATCAAGAATCGGAAATTGCTGTGAAGATAAAACGTTGCCATTAGCCTCAGCTTATACTAAAAATTGCACCAAGATTAGCCAGGAGAGTAAATCACAGCCTAGAATCTATACTCTGCCCATCAAGAAAAACAGCAAAGGTCTGAAGGAGGAGTGAGCCAGGGAAAACAAGAAAGGTATCCAGCCATGCCATTGAATTCCTAGTGGCTGATATGTTACCACCTTAGCACTGATAATAGAAAAAGCCAGTCTCTCCACATTGTTCAAAGATTTTTGTAACATGCTGGGCTCATGTGTTTCTCAGTTCTGCAAGCAATTCTTCCATGCATTGGCATGGGCAACCTACTTAGCCTAAGTGTATGTTAGGAATAATAAGCACTAATTTAAAAGATTAAAAGCTTATTTCAAAAATAAAATCAGAGATTCATCCCTCTTGAACTGCACTTAAAAGATCAAAAAAACCCCAAGCCTGTTTTAATTCTCTTTATTTTGGTGAAACGCAAGGAAAGCTCTGGAAATAAGGCAGATACAGTTGCAAGAGTGGAAAATTTTGACAATTTGAACTGGCAAAAACAAGAGACAGCTATAATACTCTACTCTAAATAGTCAACATATTTGCTTCCCCCCCCCTCATGATTCAACCTTTAGTATTCAGTGAAGGTGAAACAGTCAAAGCTGTATCATCATCTTCAATGTATAGAGCTAAACAGGAATTTAACCAACAATTTCCCCCATTCACCATAACTGAAAGCAAATGTGAAGTCCTTGCTAAGACAAATCCAAGTTTTCCTCAAAAATGTCTCAAATGGGAAAGAAAATATACTTTGGAATCTGAAACAGTGATATTTTAAACTGAAGAGATTTTGCAGTGATTCCAAGGTCAGTTATCCCATGGGGTATCTGTGTAACCCGAAACAAGGCTCCCTCTGGTCAAAACAATTTACATAAAATTGATCCTGATCAGTACCAGTTCCCTGGCAAGCAGTGGCAATTTGATAGCACACAGTTACAAAAGCCAAGAGGGAGAGAGAGATTCAATTACACTCCAAAACATTTGTAAGTTTGCAGCTTACGCTGTTTTACTCCCTTAGATGCTCCACACACAACACAAGCAGCCAGTGCTTTTTGCACTGTTCTTTTTCACACATCCTCTTCTTGAATAACACATTCCCATCCCATGAACATATCCTCCGCTTTCAATATCATTTGTGTCAGATTTATCTTTCAATGCAAAGAAAAACAACACTCAAACTTTCAGCTCTTCTATACATTGGTTATATTTCTTTGAATGCTGTCTTCCTGTCTTCCTGACAACTCTTCTTTTTGAAGAATGCCACACTCTTATCCTAGTCTACCTTGTATCACCTTGGTATTTGATGCTATTTAATACTATCCATGTGAAAGCCATTTCAACATTTGTCAAATAAAATAAAAGGGAATTTTGCATGGACCTTATGGAGCCATATTGTGGACTGCTAAGAGGAAACAAGTCTGAATGCAGTGTTCTGAAATAACACTTGGCTGAATATTAAAAATCTTTGGCTATCTGGACATCAACTTCATTACTGAGCTACTTTTGAGGGAGAACTTTGTCCTTTACTTGAGCAGTGTTTTCTGTGGTGTATTTGTTTTCTGTCACTCAAGCAATCAGACAGCCTGAGATGTGGGATAGCTGCTCTGTGCCACGTCCAACCCCGAGTACCAATCCTACAGTAACAGCTCTGCATGATGACAATCTCCAGGGACAGAGCCTGCTCCCCTGCCTGGTCTCCACAACAAGGAAGGTGACCAGGAGAAAGGGAGCCTGGCAGTGACAGAGATACTGATCACCAGGTGTCATTCTGCCCCCTTGCCCAGCAATACCTCGTGCTGCCTAAAGTCATTCCAAACACACATCTTCAGTAGCAGCTCCACTTTTCATGGCTCCAGTCACTTGTGCACAGCTTTTGCAATTTTGCAATTGCTCCACTGAATGTAGAAAAATGTGCTGTCTGTCACACCATCAGCTGTTGAACCCACACTGTTTTCCATCCTATCAGCAATGACAGGATATCAGAATTAGCCTCCCTGTTAAACCATTCTGCTGGGATATGAATTGATTTTTTATTCTGGTTTTTTCAGAAACCGAACGCCACTAGAATCCGTAAGACAGGCTGGTTCAGAGGGGAGCCCCATCAAAGTCAGTCATCTTTTTCAGAGTAACTTTGGCAGTGCCTATTAACATTAGGCACATTCTGAGCAGCTTCCATTACTGGATGGTGTTGTTGATGAAAGTGTCATTAAAGCAATAATGATGCATAAAACCCCTGATACAAAATTTCAAAATTGCTTACACAGTCCCTAGAAAACATAAAAGCCATGTAACTGGCTAAAAGTATCTTATTACTTCAAATCAAAAATCACAACACTTTTTTTAATGCAGGTTTTAAGACTTATCAACCATTTACTTGTATTAGATTTTTTTTTCATTGAAGTTTGTGGAATATCCTGAACTGGGGAAATAAAAACAAGTCATATTTGCTTCACCCAAGAAACTGAGACAGGGCACCACACATTTTCTAATGGAAATTCAAACTACACTTGTCACAGTGTGTGATAGACTGTTAAAAGATTTGGGCTTAGCTCCCAAACCATGACCAATCTGTTGTCTCCCACTGCAGACTGAGAGAGTTGGTATCAGGAGATAATGAGACATCAACTAATTGCAACAATCTGTCAGAAGGAGGAACCCTCCAAATCAGAAGGAAGACTCAAGTTCCTAAGAAAGTCCCCCAAAAAGGGCCCACAGGGGATGGCTGACCTCTGCTGATGGTGTAATAACTCTGCAAGAAGCAGCTCACATAGAAGACTGCCAAAGGACCTGAAGGCACGAAGGAGTGTGGGAGTTGCAAGGATGTGATAGATCCCCTTGGTGCCCCAGGAGAAAAGGTCAGTGACTTCAATGTTGCTTTATTTTGAAGTAATAAAACTGTAGCTTGGTGGAGAAGACAGAGAAATGATGAACATCTCAATTCTCATGCTTGTATCTGGTGCATTGCTGGGTCAGCCCACCAGCTCACACACATCCTGAATGCCTTACACACAGTTCTCACACCAAAGGGTAATTCTACAATAAAAGGAAATAATGATTTCCTGGTAATCATCTGCTGGTTACCTTCAGTCTACACCACCAAGTCTAAAGAAAGGATCTCTAAGCCAAGCTGAAGCCTAGATTAGGCAGGCAACAGAGTGTAGAATCCTAACAAACCAGATGATGGATTCCTCCTGAAGCATGGCAGATACCATTTTCTTTTATAAAACTCCCTTGCATGACAGATTGTTACTGAACAGCTCCCCAAGATAAGTGGGCTTAATGATGAACTGTTGATTGCTTCATGTGCAGAGTAATGAAGAAGTGCCTTTGATAAAGGGCAGCATGGAAGAATGCAAGACCTGAGGGAAGAGAGCTATAATTATCTACCTGTCCACATTTTAAAAAAGCCCTCTTTGTTCTTGGACACACTGTAAACTATAGTCATCACCGAAAAGCCCAGTTTGTTTTCAGAAGTTTCACTAGTTATTGTTAACAGTAAGCCAGCTTTGCTGTTTACATCATGACCTTACCAGTATCTCAGGTCCACTGTTTACAACACTTTAAACATGGAATCTAATGGTTATAAAACTCCCAAATGGAGCACTGTCAACTAAAATTTTATATTTCACCTGCAAAGCCAGTTGCTGTTTGGATTTCTGTTCAACAGCAACATTTTTACAACACAGCCCTCAGGCAGGGTCTAACGGCACATCAGCTTGGGGGTAGAACAGCATTATTGTGTGTGATAAGTGTCCTTAAGAGAACTGCTATTTTTTAATACCCTGAATAGGTCACTTAGCAGACTAACCACCCAGCTGTACTCACACCTCCTGAGTGCCAGTCTGCTCCAGGATGAACACACAGGATTAAGCATCCTGCCAACTATTCACTCCCCCAAACAAAAAAAAAAAAAAGCCTCCAAAAACAGAACAAAACCCAGTGACAAGGGATGAGTTGTTTTCACTGCCTCTAAATACAATTATTGAAAGTACAGCCCACAATAGGCCTGCAGTAACTAAATGTCTAAAGCTGCACAATTATCGAGCTTCAAGCAACCCTTTATATGCAGATTCAGCTCCTACATCACTCAACAAACAATTACAGCAAGAGTCAGAAGCTTCCAGTGAAGTCAGTCATACTCTGTACCAGGGGAGCAGCTCTTCTTTGCCCAACAAGTTCCTCTGTGCAGTATCATCTACAGGGCATGGCCTTCACAATTATTCACCCTTAACATTACAGTTGCTTTAGCTGCTCCTCTCAGATCATATTTACATTACACAAGACACTGTACAAACACTGGGGGAAGTGGGACTGTGTCTTACAAAAAGAACCCAAGAGGGAGAAGCTGCAATAATGTCTCTTTCTTTATAACCTCTCTTTTTATTTAACCTAAAAATTCAAAGCAAGCTAGCTCACCTGTGAGCCTATCCAGAAACACATCTAAAGACATTTTTCCTATTCCCACTTAATATTTTAACGTACAATTAATGCGATTTAATAGATCATATAACAGTTTTAGATAATTCATTCATTGCTTCTGTGGTTGAATGAAAACAGCTGGATAATCCTTCAAAAGACAAGTAAACCCCAAATTCATTCCAATGTAATAAGCACAGAAATAAACTACTTAGAAGTTAGTTTTGCCCAGTGTTGTTCACTGTTTTCTCACTGTTCACTTTTAACAACCTTGTATAACCTGATGTAACAGATGCATTGCATAAGAAAAGCCATGCTAACAAGATGACTAAAGCACTGCTGGTGCTGAAGGACTGGCATGAAGAGTGGAGATACACACAGTGGTTTAAAATTTAATGTCTGCTCTTTAGCAGTTAGCATCCTTTTATGTCTCGACATTAATATTTAATTTTATTTTGTTTAAAAGTACTACAAACCAACTTGTTTGCTCAATGAGAAGATTAAAGCACACTTGTTTTTATTTACTTAGGCACTGATCTGCTTTGAAGTGGAAACCCAATGAGGTCCTACCTTAAGAGTCTGCAAAAACTTCTCCTGTAGCTGAGGCGCTGGCTCGCCGCAGCCACGCTGGGGGGGAACGGAGGGCGCGAGGGGAAGTAGGCCAACGCTGCAGAAAATATCAGGGAAACCATTCCAAATTCTAAACAGGAGGGCAAAGAAAAACAAAACCAAGAACAGATGTTAGCGTTGAAAGACTTATTTCACTGCAGTGCTGTTATCAGCCAGCCTCTGAGACATAAATCCCATCACAAGTGTTTGACTGCTCCTGACAACAGAATTCCGTAACTTGAAGGAGGAATTTCTTTCTCCTTCCCCAAACAAGATTTCAAATTGAGATGGAGAATCAGTGAGACTGGCAGTCCATTCCAGTGATAGGTGCTGCAGAGAAAAAGGCTCACACACAGGGAACTCAGTGAAGCAAAAGGAAAGCTTTTGCTTTTTCTCTTCAGAGAGAACTGCAATATGAGGATTTGGCCACGTTTCCTTTCGATGGAAGTAACTCAGTGCAGGTAACAGCATGCTAGAGACTTGAAACAGATGGGACTGGGGAAGCCCCAGGGCATGGAATAACAATTATTCATTGCACAAGATGATGAAGGCAAACAAAAGGTCAAGCAAGGCAGCAGTTCCAACACAAACAGTACTACATGGCAACAGAATATAAAGAGCAAAGTGCAGAAGCAGCCATGGCTCATGAATAGAAAAAGTGCAGGTAAGGGGGGGAAAAAGAAAGAATACAGCTGTCTCTGGATGCTCTGCTTGTTCAGCAGCAGGAATTCCGAATCTTTGAAAAATTTCATAGCAGAAGTTTGAACCTGAGCTTGAGAAGTGATGAGCACTTCACAGAAAACATTAAGTCCCATGAGCAGACATTCTGAAGAGAAACAACTCTACCCAAAGTCAGTCTAATTAATTTGTTTTACAGGCCTTTTACAATATATATCATGTTCTCCACAGTCCTCAATCCCAGTATTTCTCCTATTGCCTTTGAAAACAAGATTCTTTGCTGATAGAGAGAAAAATGTATAGCTGAAGTGTGTTATCTTAAAAGAACTTGTGATCTTATAACAAAGGAGTGTTCACTGACAGCACAAATAAATTCCAGCAGAGCTGGATACTCAATTGCCTTAATTTTCTTTTTTTTCTTCTCTTTTTTAATAAATCAATATGAACATGGCACTTTGCCAGGTCTTCTGCTAAACTAGAAGAAAATAAATTCAGGAAACTGAAAAGTAAATAACACTCAGAGTCTAAATGGATCAGCTGGAGATGGAGAAGGGAAATGAATGCTTCTATTTGGCATATGGGAAAAAAGGCATATCGAGAGTGTGACAATGCCATTTTTCATCATCAAATACTAAAGGACTCATTTTGAATTACTTGGTGTCTCTTTTCCTGCTGTGGTGTAACTGCATGTTTCAAGGGGCAAGGGCACTTAAACTAGATCTCTCTCCTCTGCTCTTCAGAAAACAGAATAATTTCTATCTTTGTGCACATTGTTTTGGACACCATGATCACTGAATAAAGACCTGGCAGTAACTGATCACCCCAGACCTAAGAAAGGGATGAGATGCTCTGTCACTACAGGATGATTCTACACAGCTCTTTAGTAAAAGCTGTTTATCTCCCCACCTCCTGCCTCTAGTTTACATACAGGTTTATAGACATATATATTACACACATTTTAATCACATATTAAAGGAAGATTTAAGATTGCAGATAGGTATAGCCAATCAAGAATGTGATCACACAATCCCATCAATTTTGTCCAAGGTACTAAAGTGCCCTTCTCATACTGCAAGGGGAAAGGCCAAGTTTTATTCTGCAGAATCACAGAAATATTTAAATCACAGAAATATTTCATAACAGGTGCCAATCTGGGGTCTCATCTATGCACTGCCTCAAGATTTCTACCAGTCAAATTACTGTAGTAGGAGCAGTACAGTAACCATTTTTTTTGTCTTTTTTTTTTTTAATTACTATGTTCAGGATGCTGTCCTTGCAGTACCTTCTTGCAACTCTTTAATGTTTCCCAGTGTTATACTTTGCAAGCTAACAAATTTGCCTAGAAAGCTCTGCTCTATGCCTAAATAAAAAGTGACAAATTCACAGTGGAAACAAAAGCATCTCCCTCTGTTGAAGAATATGAGTTTTTAGTGCCATCTTAGATTTGTATACAATACTTACACCTCTACCTAAAGTTCAGGTACTGCCAAACACATCTGATTTCTTACATATTGAAATCCTACCTCAACAGGAAACCCACACCTTTGTTTCCATAATTTAAGTTACCAGAGTAGAGGAAGAGGAATACAATCTAAAATTTTTCCTGGGCAGGTAAAGAGTGAGTGAAAGTAAGCAAAATTGAGAAGGTAAGAAATAGGTCAATGCTGAGAACGAGGGAGCTGCAGCCACAAGAGAGAGACTCTTCTTTAGAAGCTGCCAGCTTCTCAAAAGTGCAGTGAATGCTCTCAAACAAGGCAAAGCACATTAAATGGGGCAACTCATAAATCAGTGTGCGGAGACACAGATATGTACACATCTGTGTACTTGCTGAGGAATGCTTCACAAAAGCTGGGTACCACACCATGGTGACTTGTTATGTGAGAGATGCCTGCATCTCAGCCTAGGAAGCAGGCACCATCATGATGCTTGTGTAAAAAAAAAAAAAAAGAAAGAAAAGAAGGAAAAAAAAAATAAAGAGGTTCAAGACTCCTTGATAACAAAGTATTTTTCCTTCAGACGGGCTACTCATAGCACAAAAACCTTTTCAATTCCAGAAACTCTCCTCCCCACCTTTTTCTGTGGGAATATTCCAGGGTGCATGAGGGCTCCTTACACACACACCTTTTTTTTTTTTTTTTTTACAAATAATAATTTTACATTGATATTTAGGAAAGTAGGAGGCTAAAAGCTCTGGCTGCAGTCTGGAATAATTAATTTCCTTACACAATTCAGGTAATACAATTCAATCCTGATTTGCTACACCCATATTACTTGAGCTGTGAACCAGAATATGCAGCAACACAGACGACACAGAAAGAGGCTGTGGCAATTCAGCTGAGCTCTGAGTACATGTTTGAGCTAAAGGAATAGCAATTTATTAAAACACAGAAGAGACTGGAGTTAACAGAGCAATTTCAGAATGGGTTTATAAGCAATTGCTTCATAATCATGTTTGAGCTTAAGTCCTTGGAAAATCTGCACACTGTTGGCACACTACTGATCCCAAGTCAACAATTCACATCGTTACTGTCTTTTAAGAGATCATCTAACTTTTGGAGGCTGCTTATTTAATGCTAGCTCACACAAAAGCAACATGCTCATCAGAAATGCAGAGTGCTTACCCTGTGAAACTGGCTTCCCCATAGTATCTGAAAGAACAAGTCATACCAAACCTGACCACACCGGCTGAAGAAGTGGGGAAGTGGGACATTTGGGTCCAGCTTCTTGCTCTTCTACATTCTGCAAAACCCTTATTTCTAATGTGTGAAGTCAGTTTGAGCCTAGTTTTCTGCACAGCTGTTTAAGGGGACAAATAGTACCCTACCACACCTACCAGGTATTTTTTGTCCCACAGGTGAACAGAGCTGTCTGTTCACTGTTGCCCACTATGGAGCAGCTGTCCTTCCACCTCTGGACCCCATGTGGCACAAGAGAGCACAGGGAAGCAGTCAGAGGAACCTTGTGCCTCTGGCTCTCCAGGGAAACAGAGCTAAGCTGAGACAGAACAAATCCCATGAGGGATTCAAAGCAAACTCCTCTTTGACAGTTCTTAGCAATTTTAAACCACTTGGAGGTTTTCCATCGTTACTGTGATTCACTGCAGGCCAGCAATGTTCACAAAGCAGCTCTCTGTCATTGTCTGAACAGCTACAGGGCTTGCAGCTCCTGAAAATACACATCCCATAGGACACAAACACCAGCACAAAGAAACTATCTCTGTTCAAAGCACGTTCAAATACTAAGTGAGAAATACAGATGCCCCACAAAACACAATTCCTAGGAAGCTGAAGAGCTGCTGGAGAATCATTGCCTGCTGGGACCAGTGATCCCAAACAGGACTACAAGGGTGTTCCCACATCCTTGCCAGCTCAGAAAGGTAGAAACAGCCCTGCTGAGGTGTGAGGCAGGCAAGACCTGAACCTTGGTGGCAACATCCATCCCTGTTTCTGAGGAAAATGCTTAGGAAAACCTTCTGAACGAGAACAGAAGAGAAAGGGAATCTCATGCACTGCTGAAGGCAACATTTCTACTGCTACCAGACTCAAAACAGTGGTTTCAAGCACAGCACGGTATTTCCTTAGGCAGATGAATTCTTCCCTCTCCATGGAAAATCTGCAGAGGGAGAGCTAAAGCACATCTCTAATTGCTATGGTTTTCCTCTCCTTATCTACTGCTCCTCAGGACAAAACCCGACTTGCTTTCGTTTTTCCTTCTTTCACACCAGACATTTTCATCTGCCACGAGATTTTCAGAGCCTAACACCATATTTACTTGTGAAAAAGGCTTAGCTAAACCTGAATTTCCTTGTTCCATTTGAGTCCAGTAAAAAGCAGCTTACTCAAAAATACTTGCTGAACTCACGATCCAAATTCTATTACACTTTCTTTAAAACAAACTTTAAAGTGGCCCTCGCCCAACAGGAATATTAACTTGACAAATTTCCATAAGGATAACGTCCAGGAATAAATGATCACAAACAGCTAACTCAATCCACTAAACCTCCACATAAACTACACAGTATATATATGTTAGGACTTCTGGAACACTTAGAACTAACTCCTGGCTCGATTTCAGAGGATGCAATTGTAAGAGGGGAAAACCCCTATCAGATGTGCAACTCTTAATGCTGTACCAATTTATATTCACTAAAAATTAGAATGTAGACACTTTAACCACTTAACCAATTCTATTTCTTTAAAGTTTGCTGCTAATTTTTCTAAGTGACAGGAAGAGGCATAGAAGCCATTATAATAAAAAGAGCAAGGATATAAAACCTAGGTTTAATCAGGTGAATTTTATATCAGTGATTTTTTCCACTGAACTGTTGTCACTTCATTGAAATTGCTCACCAGTAAGAATTACGTGGTTTTAGCTAAAACCAAAATCTATCATGTTTTAATTTCAATGTTTCTGATTCTGTGGATTCTGAAATACTAATTATCTAATCACATTTGAAAGGCACATGCAGGTCATAAATTAAGGCTCAGTTAATGCAGAATAGAATTTCATGCTAAAAGACTATTGAATTTCCATCCTTACAGAAACAGTAGTAGAAACCCAACTTGTCATGGAAACAAATTTTTAATGAAAATTCAATAAGCAAAAACCAGTTTTGAAGCTCAGGGAAACTCCAAGAAGACATTTCTCCCAAGTTCAGCCGATACAAACAACTGAACTACTTCTTTCCAAGTCAGTCTATACAAAAGGCTGTTTAAAAAATTAATCCTCCTAACTCAATTATCTTCCCCCAGGCACAGACTAGATCCTGTGCAAACCGGCCACTAGAGGGTAGCGGTTCTCAAGCACCAACACACAGGAGGGCACGAACATTTTGTGTTTAGTCTCACCTGCGTAGAGCACGGCCTCGATGCGGTCCTTGATGTGCTGGGTGTTGGAGGGCGCTGCCAGCTGCGCCGTCCCGTTGGGCGGCGGCACCACCAGCGGCCCCACCAGGAAGGCGGCGGCCGAGCCCAGGTAGTTGAGCAGCGAGGCGATGGCCGTGGCCGTGGCGCGCTCGTCCGGGGAGAACCAGGTGGTGGAAAGGAAGGGAGCGGCGTTCATCACCGTGGGGCCCGCCAGCCCGTTCAGCAGCTGCCCGCCGTGGATCAGCCTGCGACACAGAACACACGGCACTGAGAAGAACCGCTCGCTGGGCTTTGGGAATTAAATAGGCACGTGAGGTACTGCGAAAAACGCCAATCACTCGTTTTAAAAAATTTAAAAGTTTAATTGTCGGGATCTTTAGCTTGTCAGAGTGACCCCGAGAAAAGTTCGAAAGTCTCTTTTCCCAGCCCGGCACTTGAAGAAGGAGTCCGAGCTCTTCATTTCTCGGTCTCAAGGTTGGTCGTATCTTATCTGTAACATTCTTTCTCCTGTCCTGCCGAGGTCCATCCAGCAGGACAGTTCCAGGCACTCTGCCTGCCCCTGGGGTAGTGTTATGTCTTTATACTAAAAACTACGTACACAATGTTTACAATTACTTTCCAATACCTATCACCTGTGTTAGACAGTGAGCATCTACTCTAAACCAATCTAAAAGTGCCAACATCACAGCAGAAGATGGAGGCCAAGAAGGAGAAAGGCTGGACATGCCCAGTTCCCTCCATCTTGCCTCCTGAACCCCCATACCAAAAACCCCAAAATCTACTTTTCCACCCCGTGATAACTTCACTATTATTCTACCTAAACTGTTGTGGCTTGCTGATCTTCATATCAGGTTGGTAATTTGCTCCATAATCAAAACCACAGGAATTTTGGGCTCTGTGCCAGGGTGTCTGAGACCCCTGGCAGGGGTCTTGGCTGCTCAGGACAGCCAGAGGGATGTTCTGGGTTCCAACATTTAATAGTAATAAAATGGTTATAACAATAGTAATACGATTAGAGTAGTAACAATTTGGACAATTTGGACTAGGACAATATGAGACAACAGAAACAAAGAGTTACAGATGTCTGGGTACCTTTTTCTGGGCAGCAAAAGCCCGGAAAAGGACACCCATTAACAGAGGATTAACCCTGAAAAACAATAGTCTGTGGCATATTCATACATCTCATACATGATGCATAAATTCCATTTAAACACAGGATTCTGTCTGGTCAGTGTCAACTTCTTCCTCTTAATCCTAACTGCATCTTCAGGGCTGAGCAAGGCAGGAAGAAGTTCATTTCTTCTGATAAGAAAGCAATAAATTCCTTTTCTCTGAAAGATTTAGGTGTCCTGTGGCAACTATCTCACTCCAAGTCCTTTATTTAAAAAAAGTATCTTACATAGCATAGTCTCTATTTTAACATTATAACCTAAAACTATATTTAACACAGTACTTAAGAAAATTAATACAGTATAACTTTCTAACATAACACATATAATATTCATTTTAATATTTGAGAAAAGACAATCATAAAATACACATTTTTCACAGGTACCTAGTGCTGGAAATGGAGCTGCTGCACAAAGAAATGAAAGGCCTGTGCAAAAGAAGGATATTCTGTCCACCAAAAGAAGCCAAATTAGATTGATTTAAAGAATCCAGAGCTACTCAGATCTCATTACCTCATATAAAAGGAGAAGCAAATGTTCTCTTCAAAGCAGAAAAGGAAAAGGGAATAAAAGGAACTTTCTTTGCAGCAAAAAGATATCATGACAGGATATAAAAGTAGAAAAGGTGCAGTAGCAGAAAAGCTTTAAATTATAAACATTGTAAACCTGACCCTCCTGCCTGCATACATCCCAATGGAAGATTTAAATTAGTTATGGCAAATCCAAAATTGAAACACTTCAGCAAAATACTCTGCATATTTTTTCACTGCATTATTTATTTTTATTTACACACTCAGATGAGCTCTATGTGCCTACAGATGAGAAGGCTGGGCTGTTAGGGTTTCCAAGAGAGTCGTCTTCTGCAGCAATCTGGCCATTCTCAACACACTGCTGAAACAGCCAAGTAAACCCAGATTTTTCTCGTTTTTCACACTCATTGGGATTTAACAGATAAGGCTGGTGACAGAACAGAGATAGTACTTCCAGGCAGTGAAGTCTCTGCAAAGTTTGGCTTAATAGTAGTACAGTGAACAAATACAAAAAGGACTTTTTGAAGGCTCTCCTACATGTGGAATTCAGTCAGAAATCTTCCACTTTGACTTTTCCAAAAAGTAATCAGCCATAGAACGCAAAACTATTTCAGAACTCATATAAAAACTTCATGCCTAAAAAACAGCTAGAGAGTCACATGAGATATTGCAACCCTCCAAAGCAAATCTATTCATTGTGCAATAAAGTGGTGGCAGATGATATTTTCAAATGGGTGGTGTTTTTTTAACCATAGCAGGAACTCAGTGTTATTGCTGCAAGACTTGAGTTGTGAGACATAAAAAGCTCCGGCTTGAAAATGGGGAAACATAAGCCAGCATTTAGGCAGGGTTTCAAGCCACAAATGGCTGAATAATATACAGTATGGCAGGAGTTTTTAAAGCACACAAAGGAACACAATATGCAAAAGAAATGCCTACAGATTCTTTACAGAATTAACAGGATAGATTGCAATAGAAGGGAATAGATGCTACCAATTCTCAGTGGATTGGGAATTAAATTTTTAAACAAAATTTATAAAAAATATCCAAAAAAAGAAGCATTATTATATATCATCTAAAGGAAACTCTTTCTGAGCTGGGACAGAAATAATATCCACACTTACTTATATGCAATTTACTGTTTTTGAGGTTTTTTAATCCTCATACAAAAATGACAGATTTCATTACTGGTGTTGATAATGTGCTTCAGATGGACACCACCAAGGCATGGTCAGGCCTTGTCAATGCTCGTTGAACTCTCACACACACTAAACCAAAATGAAATGGTTTTAAATAAAGAAAAAGTACTATATAAACAATGCTCTGGTATTTTTCTGGAGGACACATTACATCAATACCCCATGGTTACTCTCCAGTATATTTGGAACAAACCAAGGTATCCTTTTGCACTTTGGTATTTTCATTCTACTTATCTCACTGTAGTTATTCTCAAACTTTAAAATGTTCCAGGCTATTTGCAGAGCTACAGCACATCCCCAGAAACAACTGCATTTCAGTAGCAAGTAAGGTAACTACTGCAACATATAATGATTTTATTTTAGTATTTCCTCCTGTTCCAAAGTGAATTTAATGCTTAAATTATGTTCATGTTACTGTATGTTTGGAAAACTGTGTCAGCACAAAATAACCTTCATAGCTTTAGTGTACTACCACTTCTGTTCACTGACACCACTCTGGTGTTACTGTTTTAATCCAAATATGCCTCCTCTGTAGTCATCCTAAAGGCAAATAAAACTCAGTAAAATCAGAAAAGAGTACAACAGTTTTGCAGCATCTGTGGTCATGTAGGCACTTCTTCTGACAGAAGAAGAAAAGTTTTGTTAAAAAAACTCTAAATAAACCATCAGACAAAAGACCCAGTTTATATATTTTGAAGATTACACACACATATTCCTTCCATGTACTTCAGATTTAGATTATGTCTATCAAACTCCATCATCTGAATAAAGCTCTATAACCAATCTTATACTCAAAGGGAGCAATAAATGTTAATTTTACTTTGCAGATCCTGAGGGATAAAGTAGCAACTTAATCCAGTATTTAAATTCTATATTAGCCTTTTGTCTTTGTTGTTTTGGATTTGTTGTTTTGTTTTTTTTAAAGGGTGAGTCAATTTTGCCTCTCTCAAAGTGTCTTCTGTTGGTGTTTTCCTGGCTGCTCTCTCTCCTTGTCCTGGCTGGTGTGGTCTGTTCACAGATTTGCATTTTTGGCATTTACCAAGCCTGACATTATCATTCAGGGTAGAGCATCTCTTATCTTCATATTGTTTAATTTCTCAAGTCCAACATATTTGAGTTAATAAACACTTATTTTCAGACTAAATTACCATCAATATACAGACTACTACCTCAAATATCTCTGCACATGATAAGAGCTTAAACCCTATTTTATCTCTTTTTCAATACTGACTTGAATTAAGCTACTTTTTCCTGAGAAAAAGATTATTTGCATGGTTCTTCTGCACATCCTTAACTCATTTCCCCAGAGAGGCAGGGATGAGAGATTCCAAATGCAATTCAGAGCATTTACTAAGCTGCTGCTCTGGGAGATGTATGTAGCAGCTGCTCCACCTGACAGAGAAATATGAACATAACAGTATTGGGGGCTTTTTGCTGTTTGTTACAACATCTTAACAGCACTGCACAAGATTTTGGTCTCACAGCCTGTGAGTCTCCTCTCATACACCATCAGTGCTAAAAACTGCCCCAAGACCAAGAGAGGTTTGTTTCTGTTATCCCCTGATTTTCTTCTTGTTTCTGCTACTGGAAAGGTGCAAAGAGGAGCTGCCTTTTCCCCATCACTATTCCAATTTCATTCTGTACAAGTTTTCTCTTTCCTGAGGAAAGGGATGAAAAGATAACTTTAGCTCAGGATCTTACCCAGATGGAAAAACATTTCTCAGTCTCATTGCACTATAAAGTGTAATATTCATCTGTTATTTTTCCCAGTGCTGTTTTCAGATGTGTTATTTATCCAATCATAATTTAATTATTTTCATGTATCAAAAAGTAGAAAGCTATTGAGGTCAAATGACAGGAAATAACATGAGCAGAAGGCTTTTTAATCATAATCATGAAAGAGAAAATTGGAAAAAAGTTACACCAGAAATTAATTCTCGACTTACAAAATAATTGATGACTGTAGCTTAAAGCAAAATTGAGGAAATAAACATCTGTCTAAAATATTTTGTTTCTAACTGTCTCAGTGACCAGGTCAGGACTCATTTTGATATGTCAAGGTTTTTGACATCTGACCTCCCTGCTAATGAATTGATGTGCTCTGCCAAACGTGTAATTTGCAATTGAACGTGAGCCCTTTATGAGCCCTTTTAAAGAAAAAAAATAATCATTTAAGGAATTATGGTAAATGGTAGTGTGAAATATCACATGGCAGAACATCACAGTAATGAGTATTTACATTATGTATCTATCTAAGAAAATAAACATATGGACACACATACACACTTTTGCACAAAATAAAGATCACTTCTGTTCCTTAACTGGCCTCTGAACTGCAAAAATATAG